TATTTCATTTGTGTTTCACTCCTAATATTTGTTAAATGAAGACTCAATACTCTCAATTCACACTCATGTATACTTCATGAATATTAGACTTTTTTTTAATATTCTTTATTTTTTTACTGGAGAATGTTATACTAAAAAAAATTAATACTTATGTTTTTGTTATTGGTGAATATTAAACTAAAATTTTTATTATTTAAAAAATTAATAGGACGCATTACTCCTACTAATATCCAAGGGAATAGCCCATATTGAGTCCATTTACCAGAAATACCAAAAGTAAATAGGAAAATATATTTTTTAACATGATTTATGAGATAACAATGATTAGTTTTTTAAAGGTTTGAAATGTTAGCCTAATTGGCCTTTTAATTTAGGTAAAATCTCAATGAATTTTATAAACTTGTTATAAAACCCTAAAATATACATGACAATTACCTTTTTCCTTTTCTTTTGTAAAAATGCTAAAATAAACATTAAAACATGTAAAAATATTTTTTTTGTTTTTTTAGATTTTTTAGAGACTTAGCCATAATGCGTGATATTTGATGGTGATAAAGTTTTTTATATTTGAATGATGAGGATCATTTATTTACCAATAAAATGGACAAAAATCATCATTTAATTATAATTATTGTGTTTGCCAGATCAAGTGATGGCATCCAATGCATAAATGGTTTATCAATTAAGATATGTTGTCACAAGACAAATTATTACATCATACTTTCTGAGTAATGCAACTCCATAAGTTTAAAAAATATAAGTAGGATTAATGTCATCTATAAGTCTGTGTGTAGTGTGCATATAGGATGAACAACTTTTAAGTTATCCTCTGAGTATGAATTCACAACCTATACCACCATCAATAATGCAATTATTATAAAATTATTTTATGTAAAAACTAATCAAACTGATAATTACTAAAAACAAACTAATAATGGACATACCTAATAATATTATTGTCTATCTAACTCGTTACGATAAAATGAAAAAATATATATTGAATTATTTTCATAACTCTTGATCCCATAACACCTAAAATTTTAAACTAATAAACTAATTAAATATTAAATACATTATTTTTAATTTAAAGATATGATTATAAATAACATATTACCTGTTTCCTAATAAGAGTTGTAAATTTACCCCCCCCCAATTATCATAAACATATTAGTTTTTGGGTCAATTTAGGGATGCCCTTAGTGTAAATGATCCCATGACCATAACTATAAGAAAAATAAATTAAAATAAAACTCAATCCAATTAGTAACTATCTCAAAACCAAGATACTTATTGTGATAACAAAGAAATACAATGTATGTTATATAATTTGTACAAAAAAAAAATTCCCCAACTTGCTTTACCCTTTTCATGCTTGTAACATGGAGGCAGCTATACAAACATGCAAGAACACTTGACCCCAACTATACTATAGAACGACCTCAAAAGTTTTAATAAAGGAAGATAGAACAATGGCATATATATCCCACTAAAATCAATTACTAGCATGCTGCCAAACATATGAAGTAAATACACTCTATCATTCATTATGACACGATTAAAAGATTGATGTCTTCTCCCAAGTGCAGAGTGTCAAAGTAATAAATAACCCGGCAAGACCAAGGTCGAACCACATGGAGGTTACTTGTATAAATTATAGATAACAATAATACAACAACAACAACAATAATAATAATACTACTAGTAGTACTAATATGAATATTAATAATAATAATAATAAAAAGAAGAAGAAAAAGAAGTTGATAAGAACTTTGAAATGGAAGATTAACGTAAGGATTAAATAATGATAACAACAAATATCAAGGTTAGAGGATCCACTAATGTTATGTCAAATAAGTATAGTATAAACTCTTATTATTCAATTGGAAACCACACACAAAGGAGATTTCAATCATATTACAAATTGTTAACAAGATTACATTAGTTATCCTATTTAATTAATGCTAATACTAATATTAATACTTGTAAATATTGTCAGGCATTCATGATTATAACTTATATTAAAAACAAATCAAGTTCTTTTCATAGCACATGTGTCGGTTATACCATACAATATAGGCTATGAAAGTGCCAAGTATTTGTTGTACCAAGTGTTATACAACATAAATCTAGATTAGCTATTTAACAAGTAAAGTATTAAAGAGTAAGCAAGATAACAAATACAAAATATGTTAGTATCAAACATTAAAGTCCATGTTAAGTTTACACTATACATATTCTTAAACCATTAGTATAACCTTTTCACCTTGATATAATAAAATTAACTAAACATAATGAAAGAAAGAAAATAAATAAATAAAATAAGAACATAAATAAGATAAAATTTAACTAAGTAAAGGAAAGGAAATGAAAGGCATGAACAATATATTAATGAAAGCAAAACTTAAGCATTACAAAAATACAAAGAGAGAAAGTAAGAGCATGATCTTGATCTAGAGACCAAAATGCCTAAATGCATGATAAATGCCTCCTTTTATAGGCCAAAATTGAGAGCTATTGATTTGATAATTACTTGATGAGTGGGTGGCCAACTCTTGACTTGGTGACAATCTTTATCTTCTCTTGTCTACCTAAAAAATTATTGATAACGTCAGAATTGAAACCACTTGAAAACATGAATGTTGTAGGAAATTGTCTTAGCTTTCTAAGAAAAAAAATGAACGTCATTTGGACTTCTAGAACTCCAGATATGGGTCAAACATTGAACAGTGTTCAAGCTGTAGGACAGATTTAGACTTCTTCATTGTTGTTCCAATTTGAACTTGAAAATGACCTTATTAAATCTTGGGTTCCATATGAAAGGTATAAGCCTATATCTTACCTTTCCATCCATATAAAGTAGATCTAAATCCGAGATCTACAACTCCAGATATGACCTAATTACTGAACAGTGTTCTGGTTTGGAATGCATCGGCATCTCTTTTCTAAGTTTGGCCATCTTTTTGTTTTTTCAATTTCAATTCTTAAACTCATTAATCAATCCTTTCATTTATGTGATATGCCTACATTTAAAATGAACATTTACCATAAATTAAAGGTATCTTATATTATTAGATATGTTAGTATAAAACATGCTTTAGTTAAGGAGTTATTGATACTTCAAGTGCAAAATAATGATATAAAACCTTGATAAAAATGAACTTTTAAGTACTAATCATATCATATTATATCGTCATTATATATAACATTAATTGATTTCACAAATCTCTAATTTGTAAACCTTACTTGTTTTGATGTAATTAACTACACAAATAACATCAATGGTATAAAGAGACCCTTAATTGATTCATTTAAACCCTAAATTATTTCAATTAAATAAAATGCTCACTTATCAAATAAAACCCTAAATCATAATAAATTGAAACCAAAAAAATCAAATAATTTAACAATAATAACCAAAAAAATTAAGAGAAATGTAGTGTTTTTACTTTGATTTATTGATGACTAGGTGGTGGTTTAGCGGTAGTTACAATTGAAAGACTAAAAAAGGAGATTGGGTCGATTTTTTTGTTAAAAAAACACTAGAATGATGTATAAAGATGAGAGGAAGAAAATTTTGGTGTTTTGGTAGAGCATTGATGGTTGTTTTGGGCAATCTAGGGGAAAAATGATTGGATTTTTGGGCTTTTTTAGGTGAGAGGTGGTGACTACTGGAAAAAAAAAAGGTTTTTAATATGTAATTATAAATATTAATTTTATTTTTGTTATATAACTGTAAATTACATGATCACATCTTTAAATAGAAATGAGATTGGTGATCAAATATTTGGATAAAAAAAATCATGTCTTTGTTCAAAATGTATTAGTTTTCAAAGATTTTTTCAGTCAGGTCATTTTAGCAATTTTTTTTTTAACTATGTTACTGTTAAAAAAAATTCCTATATTTCTCTCTTTCC